GTGCTCACCATAGCACATTTAGTGTATTTTTAAGTGGTCAAAACTAATTTGTTTGTTTAAACTGCATTGTACTATGTATGTTTAAGAATTAGCCTTATTATTTTACTGCCACACCTTATAAGGTGCTATATGCAAATATGCTCATTGTTATGGTTATTAAAAAACAGAAGTTCTGTAATCATTTTTATGGAAACCTGTGTAAACATTATTTAAGTTATGCACATTATTTTTTAATAACATAAAATACATTTTAGTATGGATTGGTCTTTATAAAACTATATTTGGAAACATCTTGTTAGATAAGTGAGATTTAATAATCAATAATAACTGTGTAATAAAGACAGATAAATCATTTTTAGAAACTAAATATACTAGCATTTTAAAAGTTAATATATTGCTATTGAGATTAAAGTTAAATAATTTTTAGTGAAGCTAAAAAATATGACAAACAGTATCTATCATATTTATTAATTCATTCTACAAATACTTATTGAACATTCACTCTGTGCCAGGAACTCTGATAAGGCACTAGAGTTGCAGTAGCAATTTAGTCATACATAGACCCTGCCTGTATAATGGTCTCTATGTGCTTTAATAAGGAAAATAAATAGTGCTGTGGGAATACATAAGAGAGGCTCATGAATGCTTCTCAGAGGAAGTGGTGCCTATGCTGAGTCTAGGAGAGATTAATAAAAGCTTTTCCATGTCAGGGTAAAAGGAATAGTGGTGAAGAGTGGTTTAAGACAGAGGAAATTATAGAGAGATGATGTTGGCTTGAAAATAGGATTGTGGCAAAAAATATAATATATTTTTGATAAAGGTATTCTGATTACAAAGAAGAGGCTGGGTTTGGTCAGTTATTAAATTTTTGTCTATAAGCATTTCTTGAAATGACCTGCTTTATTAATCAGTTTGGGGTACCATAACGAAATACCTAGACTGAAATGTATTATCTTGTAGTTCTGGAGGCCAGGAAGTTTAGGATCAAGGTGCTGGCTGATTTGGTTCTGGGTGAAGGCTCTCTTCCTGGCTTGCAGATGGCCACCTTCTTGCTGTGCTCTCACATGGTGGAAAGAGAGAGCTCTCGTGTCTCTTCCTCTTTTTATATCCACCAATCCCATTGGATTAAGATTATGACCCTTATGACCTCATTTAACCCTGGTTACCTCCTGAAAGCTCTATCCTCAAAATAATGATATTGGTGATTAAGACTGCAACACATGAATTTTAAGAAAAGAGACACAATTTAGTTCATGGCACCCTGTCTTTATATTTGAAATAATTAGGTCATTCTCAAAAACCCACAAAACATTATAATGTAGTAATATAATCTTGGAAGATTATCTCAATATATAAAAGAACTTTTTAGCAATTGGTTTTTTTTAGATATTCATTAGTCTGAAAATATGATGATTATTATTTTGTTTTAGAAGATGGAGGTGTAAAGTAAAAATAGATGGTAGACTGGTACTTTTTTCTCAATAGAAATGTCTTATTGCTGTTTTTAACACAGTTCATTAATATGCATCTTTATATATTTCCCAATATTCTTATGCCATCTTCTCTTATTTTAAACATACTTTGCTGGTTTTCAGGATCTTTTGGCTGTTGGCTATGGGCACTTTGGATTTAAAGAGCAAAAAAGAGGATTGGCTTGCTGCTGGTCAATAAAGAATCCTATGGTAACCAAATAGGAATAAACCCATTTTTATTCAATTAAATATTGACATAATTCTCATAAAGTACCTAGTTTTATGTGATAATTAAAGTCAAAAAAGTGACCAAGGAAGACTTTATTTTCTCTGGTTTAAATCTGTAAGAATTAAAATTTGTTTTTGTTGATGTGTAGGGTAAATTCATTTAATAAATATTTATTGAGCATTTACTATGTGTTGTTAGATCTGATGATCCAGAATTGAACCATTATTTTTTATCAAAATGAAGAATAAATTTGCAAATGAGAGTCCTTTGAAAATTATGTTTCATTTAATACTGGGCTGTTTCTTAATGTATGAATAAATCATTGCCTTATAAGATAGATTTCTGCTCTCCTGAATACATGAAATAGATGAATATGACCATGTTATTAGCATGAATTTTTCAAGAATAAGAATCAATCGTGTTTTTTGTCAAACAGTTGTAGTCAATATGTTACTTTGCAGCTTTACATTAGTTTTAATTAATAAATGAAATGTGAAGTAGAAAACTTAAAAAAAGGGTCAGAGGGGGAAAAAATGATTAGAGCTTTTATAAATAGCCCCAGTCTATTAGGAAGCTGGGTTTATATAGAGTAAAAGAAAGGAAGGAAGAAGCAATTTTAAACATGTGGAAGGACTGATATAAGATCCATAATCAGTAAGTTATCTTCTTTTCCACATAGATTATTAGAAGCAGGAAAGGAGTTAGATTAGACTTTAAACAAAACAAAACAATAAAACTCTTCACAGAGTTGAGGAAAAGACTACCTTAGAGAGTTTTTTTCGAGCTTCTTCTATCCACTGTTTTGAAATGTCTAGATAATCCAAGCATCTGAAACAAATACTGGAAGATAGGAACATTGCTAGCTAATTTGTTTGGAGCCCATTATTTGTTTCTTAATGAAGGTGATCTATGATGATCATACAAATCCTGCTGAAAGATTAACAAAATATGATACTTATTGGAGAAGGCCATGCTGTATTTCTTAAAATTATTGCACTCTGAGGATGCACCAAAGTAAAGGAAATGACTAATTGACCTTTTGTTCTCATCTATACTAGAAGTTAGGAGGAGAGGAGTAACTGAATGTAGACTAGCTCTTACGTTTCCCCTGTCACCAGACAATCCACCATTCAGCCACCATTATACTCTTTTATGGCCTGCAAAACCAAGTTTAAAATGTAATACAATTTTTTTATTCAGTGGCCAGAACGCATTTATCAGAGTCCATATGGAGTGACTGCTGTGGATTTCTCAATTGGAGCACCTAATCTTTTAGCAGTTGGCTATCACAATGGCACCATTGCCATTTATAATGTGCAGAGCAACAGCAATGTTCCGGTTCTGGATAGTAGGTGAGAATCCAAGAATTAGGTAAACATATAATATGTGCTTTTTTAGGGAAAAGTAAAAATTTAATGTTTTTTAGTTTTGAGTGAAAGTTTATGTTGTTACTGAGAGTGATACCATTATTTTTTCAGACATTTAAAAATTCCTCATATTTTCTCTCTAGCTGGAATGTTCTTATTCTAAAATCTGCATGTTCTCTGTCCACCTCACCAACCTTCCTTGACAGTTTATGCTTATTCTTTTAAAAAAATTTTTTTAATTTCCCCAGCTTCATTGAGGTATAATTGACAAATAAAAATTGTATACATTTAGGTCATACAATGTGATTTTTTAAGGGGTACAATGTAATTATTTAATATATGTATACATTGTGGAATGTTTACTACAATCAAATTGATTAATACATCTGTCACCTCACATGGTTACCTTTTTGTGTATGTGGTGAGAACAGTTAAGATCTACTCTCTTAGCAAATTTCCCAAGTATATAGCACAGTATTATTAACTATGATCATCATACTGTATATTATATCTCTAGAACTTATTCATCTTGTAACTGAAAGTTTGTACCCTTTATTACTTTGGTGTCACCCCTGCCACATAACCTTCCCATTCCAATCTTTTGTGCATTTGTATTAGTTATCATAGCAGTTATTATACTGTATATATATTGTTTACATATATATCTTCCTGAAGAGCTGTAAGCAATTTGAAGTCAAGGATTAAGTCTTATTTTTGTATCCTTGGCCTGTCACATAATATCAGGCATGTAGTAGGATTATAGTAAGTATTTGATTAAAAATAAATGAATGAATGAATAAGTGTATTGAGAAAATAAAAAAGTGAAAAGTGAAAAATATTGAATATGTTAGGTTTTTGTAATAGATCAGATACCACTGGGGCAAAAATGAAGTAGTATATTTATATTAGTGTTTGAATAAACTTAGCTAGAGCTGAAAATAGGCATAAAGCAGGGTCCTTAAGCTTAACTTGGAAATTATTTGCATGGTTTTATAAGCATGGGCCTTTGTGCTTGTTTCTGGGAAGATGGTCTATAACTTTTACCAAATAATCAAAACTATATGATTTTTAAAAGAGTCAGAACTATTGCTTTGGAAGATTTGCACGAAAAAATCAAGGGAGTCAGTACTATGAACAGAGCAACCCATTATTCTGATAGGAAAGCAGTCAGTAATCTGAGAAGCGATTTTAATTCTTCAGAAAAATGTTAAATCTGGCCATATAGAGACCCAAGCCAATGGGCAAACCTGAAACATAGAAAGAAAGGTGAGGTAATTGTTTATTTAAATAAGACTTAAATAATTTATTCATTTAAGCTATGAAAAAAATCCTTATAAAGGTAAAGATACTTATACTCAATGTGTCCAAAATAAATTTACATAACTTATCTAGGAAAAAGTAAATGAATAGAGTAAGGAAAATATATTCTGAAAAGAAAGAAAATATTTTCTTTTGTATTTCTGTTATGGCAGTTAATATAATTAAAGGCAGTGAAATTTTCCTTTTGTAAGAAATGAGAAAAACAAAAAATACTACATGACAAAATGATTATTTTCCCCATTTTTTGAAATACTTAAAGTAAAAGTCCAATTTTGAATAATAAAGGCATCATTCTATAAGTAGGTCACAGTGCTCCAGGGAGCTGTCCTTATGACTGAGACTCATGTCCTTTTAAAAATTATGACAATGATTCTATATTTAGTGCTTTTCCCCATTTTAGTGAATCACCTCAAAAACATTTGGCACCTGTATGGCAACTACAATGGATAGAACAAGATCGAGGGACAACAGGTGATGACAAAAGAGAAATACTCGTTTCTGTATCAGCAGATGGAAGAATCTCCAAATGGGTTATACGGAAAGGACTAGACTGTCATGGTAAAAAGAATATATACATGCATATGTATTTATCAATCAATTATCTTTCTCTTGTTATGTGTTGCCTTAAGGTTTCTAGTGAGTCATGTGTAAGAGGTGGCCAATTTTGGTTTAGCTACATAAGAAAAAAAACTGGGCTTTGTCATTGTTTTTCTAAGCATCTTGTTCTGGTATTTGCTAATTTTAACCTAATCACATGCAAAAGATGGCAGAAATCATACTCTTCTTTGTATGGGACACACATTATATATACAATACTTTTTCATGTGGTAAATAAGATACATTTTTTTTCTTTAAATAAAGATTTGATGCGTTTGAGGCGAACTACTGCGAGCAGCAGCAAAAAGGGAGGGGAAAAGGAAAAAAAAGGTGAAGCTCTGATATCTCGACAGGCTCCTGGAATGTGTTTTGCTTTTCATCCTAAGGTAAATTATCTCAATCCATTATGTACTATTGCATATAACAACTTCCAGTAATTGAAGTGTATTAAGATATAAAGCAAGGCAAAGTTTTAGCATGTTAATAAATATTGTGCCTTGTAAGTAAAAATAAAACAAATATAGACATAGTTGCCAAACTAAGGTAGAGCGGCCCCTTCTAGTTGGCTGTACCATGTCTTTATCTGCTTTCTGGAGGAAAGGTCTGTATTTCTGAGGAACTGTGGAAGGATTCTCTTTACAACTTCATGTTTAACTTGCATGCCCCTCCTTGCTCCTCTTGGGTGTTCTGCTACTTTGTCATATTGATAGAAACCAAATCTACTACACAGTCCTCTGTGTCAATATGAGTGGTAACTCTCATGATTCTGAGGATCAGGAAGACCAGTTAAGTTCATGCTTATCAAGACCAGAATCAAATCAAAGCACAGTTAGTGAAGTTCTACTTTTTCTCATTCTTTTTATCTGGAAGTTCTTTGGAGTCAGTAAATTCAGCAACTATCACAGACATCTAAGGAAACATATCCTATGTGTTTTCTGTTATATGTAATATGACCATCTTTTTAGTGACACCATCATCCACCTAATTATGCAAACCAAAACTTGAGCTCCTACTCTATTCTACCCTATCATCCAAATGATATTTAAGTCTTATTTTCCTACTCTTTTCAGTCCAAGCCTACTCATTGCTAATGTAGTTCAAGCCTTTATTATGTTTCACTTTTACCACTGTAGTTGTATTCTTAACTGCTTTCATTCTCAAGTTCTTGTAACTCACATTTCACCTGGACTCTAGAACAGTGGTTCTCAATGTTGGCAGGGAGGCGCATTTCTCATCACGAGGGTACATTTCACAATGTCTTGAGATATTTTTGGTTGTTTCAGCTCTAAGAGGTGGGATGTGGGAAGGAATGCAAAGACCAGGGATGCTGCTAAACATCCTACAATGCGCAAGACGAGTACTGTCTTCCTCTGCACAGAAGAAGGAGAAGGAAAAAAGGAAAGGGAAGGTGAAGGAGAAGAGGAAGGAGAAAGAGAAGGGGAAGAAAAAAGAAGGAGATGGGGAAGAAGAAGAAGGAGGAGACAGATAACGATAATAATATTTATTATTATTATTATTATTATTAGGTGACCCAAAATATCAATGGTGTTGGATTGAGAAATCCTTTTCTGGTGTCTGGTGTCCTAGAAATGTCCTTGGTGTAAAGAATTTGAGATAATGTAGTTTGTAAATAGTTTTACTTCTTCCTTTCTTATCTGGTTACCTTTTATTTATTTTTCTTTCCTGATTATAGTGGCTTGAACTTCCAGCACAATGATGAATAGAAGTGGTGAAAACATCCCTCTCTTGTTTCTGATCTTAGGGAGAAAGTATTCAGTCCTTTTCCTATTAAGTATGATGTAAGCTGTGGTTTTTTTGTAGATGCAGTCACATTGAAGAGATCCCATTACATTACCATTTGTTGAGACTTTTATCAGGGATGGATGTTAGGTTTTTGTCAAATACTTTTTCTACATCAGTGGAGATGATTATATGGTTTTTCTTTCTAAGTTTGTTAACATGATGAATTACATTAATTTTTAAATTTTTGTTTCTGAAATAAATCCCATTTGATCATGATTTATACTTTTAATCTACTGTTGGATTTGGTATGCTAAAATTTTGTTTAAGATTTTTCATCTTTGTTTGTAAGGGGTATTCATCCATAGTTTTCTCTTCTGGTAGTGTCTTTGTCTGGTTTTGGTATTAGGATAATCCTGTAGAATTAGTTGAAAAGTGTTCCCTTTTTACTTTTTTGAAAGAATTTACGTACAATTAACATTATTTATTCATTACGTGTTTGATGGAATTAATAAACCATCTGGACCTAGAGTTTTTTTGGGGGGGAGGATTTTTAACTTTCAACTAGATATTAAAATTTTTAATAGATATAGGGTTATTATTATATTATTATCTATTTCTTCTTGAGTGAACTTTGGTAATTTGTGTCTTTCAAGGAATTTATTTCATCTAAGTTATTAAATTTAGTGACATAGTAATATTTCCTTAGTATCCTTTAATAGTTATAAAATATGTAGTGCTATCACTTCTTTAATTCCTACTATTAGTAATTTGTGTCTTCTCTCTTCTTTCTCTTTTTTTTTAGTCTGGTTAGAAATTTATCAATGTTATTGATCTCAAAGAACCAGCTTTTGATTTCTCTGTCACTATTGGTTTTCTGTTTTCTATATAATGGATTTCTAATTTGATCTTTTATTTTCATTCTTCTACTTCGGTTTTATTTGCTCTTCTTTTTCTGGCTTCTTAAAGTGGAAGCTGGGATCATTGATTTGTGACTTTTCTTCTTTTATGATAGAGGCATCTGTGCTATAATTTTTCTCTAAATACTGCTTTGGCAGCATCCCACAAACTCTAATATGTTGTATTTTCATTTTCGTTCTATTCAGAATACTTTCTAATTTCTCCTTTGATTTCTTTTTTGATGGGTGGATTATTGAGAAGCATGCTATTTAGTTTTTAAATATTTGGTACTTTTCCAAGGATCTTTCTGTTATTGATTTCTAATTCAATTCCATCATTATCAGAGAATGAACTTTTTATACTGAATCCTTTTGAATTTATTGAGATTTGTTTTAAAGTCCAGAATGTGATATTTACATGTAAATTTCACTATGCACTTCAGAAAAATATATATTCTGCTGCTGTTGGGTGGAATGTTCTATGAATGACAATCAGGTTAGAGTGGTTGAAAGTGTTGTTCGAGTTGACTATACCCTTGCTGATTTTCTTCCATCAATTATTAAGAGAGAGGTACTGAAGTCTCTGGCCATAACTGTGGATTTGTTTATTTTTTCCTTGTAATTCTATCAGTTTTTAGCTTGATGCTTTGTTTTAGATATATAAATGTGTAGGATTGTTATGTTCTCTTGGTTAATCAACTTTCTTATCATTGTAAAGTGGCCTTGTTTATAACCGGTAATATTATTTACTCTGAAATCAACTTAATCTGATATTAATGTAGGCACCCCGCTTTCTTTTAACTAGTGTTAGCATGATATATCTTTTTTTAAATTAAGTTTTTATTTAAATTCCTGTTAATGTACAGTGTGATATTAGTTTCAGGTGTAGAATTTAGTGATTCAGCACTTACATACAACACCTGGTGTTCATCACAACTAGTGCCTTCCTTAATGCCCACCAACTATTTAACTCATCCACCTACCCATCTCCCCTCTGGTAACTATCAGTTTGCTCTCTATAGTTAAGAGTCTATTTCTTGGTCTTCCTCTCATTCCCCGCCAAACCCCCCTGCCATGTTTGTTTGTTTTGTTTCCTAAATCATTTTCCATCCTTTTACATTTAACCTGCGTATGTCTCTATATTTAAAGTACATTTCTTGTTGGTCGCTTATAGTTGGGTCTTGCTTTTTTATCTAATCTTACAATGTCTGCCTTTATAATTGTGATGTTTAGACCATTTACATTTAGTTTGATTTTGATATGGTTTGGTTTGAGTCTATCATTTTGCTTCACTACTTTATTGGTGACGGTGGAGGATGGTGGTATAACATGTCTGGCTTCCTTGCCTGGAGGTAGGACTCTGAAGGGCTATCTCAACTTCAGAACTTCTTGGAGTTTGGGCTGAGCCCTCTGTTGCAACTGCATCATAGTTCAACTTAAATCTCTGCCCATTTCTGTTCCTTTCAAAGAGATTGTTCCTAAGAGAACTCCCTAATAAATCTCTAGAATGGAAATCTCAGATTTTATAGACTGACACAAACAACTCTAGACAGTGACCTTGATCTCTAGAGAAAGATAACCTACATATAAATGGTGTTGGAATAATCATTACCCATATAACAATGGAATTAGATACCTACCCCATCATACACAAAAAACTTCTAGAAGAAGATGTAGGAAAACATTTCTATTACCTCAAAATATGAAAAATTTCTTAAACAAAGCACAAAAAAATGCTAATATATAAAAAAGTTATAAGACCAGCTACATTAAAAGGAGAACTTCTGTTTATCAAAAGACACCAAAGAGGGGTGCCTGGGTGGCTCAGTCGTTAAGCGTCTGCCTTCGGCTCAGGTCATGATGCCAGGGTCCTGAGATCAAGCCCCACTTTGGGCTCCCTGCTCAGTGGGGAGCCTGCTTCTCCCTCTCCCACTCCCCCTGCTTGTGTTCCCTCTCTTGCTATCTCTCTCTCTTTCTGTCAAATACTAAGAAAGTAAAAAGGTAAACTGTACACTTGGAGAAGATATTTGCAACATTTATAATAGACAAGCATATGTAATAGAATATATAATATAGATATATAAAGATAATATGTAGTCATATATAGAATATATAAAGAACTTCTTTATAAATGAATATAAAAAATATTATGAGTAAAACAAGAGACATGAACAGAAGAGGAAATACAAATGGCCAGTAAACATAAAAATGTGCTCAACCTTATTAATATCCATAAAAATGGGACCTAAAACCATTAGGTATAATTTTATACCTCATACAATGGCAAAATTTAAGATTTCTAATGTAACCCAACTGTTGATGAGAATGTGGATCAAAGGGAACTTCTATATACTGCTGAATATAAATTGGTAATACTAGTTTGGGGAAAAAATATACTTTATTGTGTTATTTAAAACTACTTATATTCCAGGGTGCCTGGGTGGCTCAGATGGTTAAGCGTCTGCCTTCGGCTCAGGTCATGATCCCAGGGTCCTGGGATCGAGTCCCGCATCAGGCTCCCTGCTCCTTGGGAGCCTGCTTCTCCCTCTGCCTCTCTCTCTCTTTCTCTTTCTCTCTCTTTCTCTCATGAATGAATGAATGAATGAATGAATGAATAAATAAATAAATAAATAAATAAAAATAAATAAGATTAAAAAAAAAAACTACTTATATTCCATGATCTAGTAGTTGCATTCTTAAGTACTGGTACATGCTAGAGCAGTGTGTCTCAAATTTTAATGTGCATACAAATTACTTGGGAATCTTGTTAAAATGCAGATTCTGATTCAGTAGGTCTGGGGTAGGGCCTGAGATTTTGCATCTCTAAAATGCTCCCAGGTGATACTGACTTTACATAGCCAGGACATAAAGTCTGACTTTCAGAACTTTTGACTATGACTTCAGTGTAGGAAATACGCTTAAAATCTCTATTTAGGGCATACATTTAGTGTTAAAAATCCATTTATTTCAATCTTTCATTCCAAGCCAGAGTCATTTCTTCAGCATTATATACATAAATACTGTTAAGTCATCTCTCTTCTCTTTGACTAGTTCTAATGAAAAGAACACTTACTATTCCCCTGGATTCCATTATTAGTTCCATTATTAGGTAACTTTAAATATTGGAAATTTTCTTCCTCATTTTAAGCCAGTGCTTGTCCATTTAATTTCTAGATAAGATCTAAGTTCTTCCCTCTATTCCAGCAAAGAACAAATCTGTATTTTCTTTGCATAGTAGTCCTTCAGATAGTTTAATTATTATAAAATCATAACAGAAAGCAAAAGACAACAAAAAACCATGATCAAGATAGAATTTCTAGTTTGGGTTCTAGAATTGATTTTAATAGCTCTTGAGGGATCTCATTTTCTATTTAGCACATTTACTAATGTGTAACAAGCCAATACATTTTAATTTTTTGTGTTGTAGGATACAAATATCTATTTGGCTGGCACTGAAGAAGGTCATATTCACAAATGCTCTTGTTCGTATAATGAACAATACCTTGATACCTACAGAGGACATAAGGTTAGTTTAATTATAGTAGGTATGGAAAATTTATCTTTTAATATTTCTGAAAAAAATATTTAATACTGTGTTTAAACACAGTACTTTTAACATGCAATAGATTTACAACTTCAGAGTTAACATTACCAGCTTGAATTAAGTGCTTTCTTGTATGGAAACATCAATAACATGTGGGGCATCTTATTTGGCTTCTAGATAGTTTTTTTTTTTTTTTTTTTTGAGAGAGAGAGAGAGAATGCATATATGTGATCTGGAGGGTTGGGAGGGGCAGACGGAGAGGGAGTGAGAGAATCTTAAGCAGGCTCCACGCTCAGCATGGAGCCCCACACAGGCCTCAATCTCATGACCATGAGATCATGACCTGAGCTGAAGTCAGGAGTCGGATATTTAATTGACTGAGCCACCAGGCACCCCTGGCTTTTAGATATTCTTGATTTCTTCTTGCAAGTTGTGGAAGTTACAATTTTCATTTGTTTCTAAGAGACTTTGCTTATGATAACATGCTGATCCCAAAGTAAAAATGTGTCTGGCATATACTTATTTTCTGTATTCTTTGTGATTGTTTCATCTATGTTTTCTTCATTTTCTCCCTCATTTTTAAAAAATAATCCTTATACTTTTAAAGTAATTAAGTATAATATGTATTGATATTTAGTTAGTATTGTAACAGCTGTATTTTTATGTTTCCATATGGCATAATTTAGGGAAGATCCTATCTATGACCTTACTCTCAGCTAAAATAATATACAATAATGCATGGTGCATAAATCTTCTAGAAAGCTTAGCATTTTTAATTTGTTGGTCAGGTTTAAAAATATAAGATGTTCAATATTATTTATCTATGTATTTTAATTTATTTTTCTAATTCTAGGGCCCAGTGTATAAAATAGCATGGAATCCATTTTGTCATGATGTGTTCTTAAGCTGTTCTGCAGATTGGGGTGTTATTATATGGCAACAGGAGAACACCACACCATTTTTGAGCTTTTATCCAACCACTTATGTTGTTTATGATGTTGCCTGGTCTCCAAAATCCTCCTATATATTTGCAGCTGCAAATGAGAGCAGAGTGGAGATTTGGGACCTTCATGTCAGCACGTAAGTGTTAATGTTTTTCTTGGTGATACTTCTCATAGAAGCAGTTTAAACTAAATGATACCTGATAGATTTGGTATTGGTTAGAGGGAATTGTAGTTACTTTAAAACAAGTAATAGTTTACGCTGTGAGAGTCCTCTACGAGTAAAAGATATATGCCAGGATGCTATATTCATTTTAGTTACTTAGACCATATGTGTTTTTAAAAATATTTAAATGAAAATAGGTCATCTTATCCATCTCAAACTTTTACAGGCTGATATGAGTTATCATAGCTACCTTGAATTTTCATTGCCTAATTTATAGAAGAATGCAGAGAGGCATTTGTTTGTTTTTAACTGAAGATTTTCTGCAATAAGATAAAGGGAACAAAATAATTATTTTTTACAATATTTACGTATTCTCTTACCTTGTTTTAAAACATATTCAAAAGGCCATGCACATATTTTTATTTTTATTTTTTTAAGAATCTCTCTTTTTTAAGATTTATTTATTTATTTGAGAGAGAGAGAGAGAGAGAGAGAGTGAGTGAGAGAGAGAGCACAAGCAGCGTGAAGGGCAGAGGGAGAACCAGACTCTCCGCTGAGCAGGGAACCTCGATGCAGGCCTGATCCCAGGTCTCCGGGATCATGACCTGAGCCAAAGGCAGATGCTTAACCAACTGAACCACCCAGGCACCCAGGGCCATGCATTTAATTAAAATTTTTAATTTAAGGTTTTACACCAAAGTTATTAGAGTGTCCTCTAGACTCATCTTTCATTTTAAAATGGAAATTTGTATAGTACAGGAATAAAGTGTTTAATGATTTTACTTCTTCAGTTGGAAAATACTGTAGATTTTTATGCTAGTTACTAGCAGAAGAATCAGGGAAATACATTCTTGCTTAAAATAAGTGACAGAAAATTCAATGGGTTTATTTTTAATGGCATTTTTTCCCCTAGAAGTTAATAATTTAGTAACTCTAAAATTTTGTCATGGCTTATACTATAAAACAGTTTGAACCCCAAACCAAGGATTATATCACAAAGCAATTTATATTTGAGTATGAGATGACTAATGTATAAAATGATTATTTAACTCATGCCACTTGTGATTTTAATTTTCTTGGTAGAACTGTGGTTCTCAGGACATTTCTTCAGAAGTATGCAAGTCACCGCTTCTGTTGTTTTGTGGGGCATCAGTAGATTGCTCTGGACGATGGGGAATAGAAAAAGTTCTTGTTCAAAGTATTCTTTTATGTTCCAGAGGTTCATTTGGATCAAATGTCCTTCTATTAAAAGGCATTACTACTCAAGAGGTTGTATTAGTCAGGGTTCTCCAGAGACACAGAAGCAATAAAAAGAGAGAAAGAGATTTATTTTAAGGAATTGGCTCACATGACTGTGAGGCCTGGCAAGTGCCAAGTCTGCGCTACAGGCTGGCTGGCTAGAATTTCCATCAGAAGTCCATGCTGCAGTCAGGAGTCTAAAGGCAGACTGGAGGCAGTTTTATTCCACTTCAGGGACTTCAGTCTTTTCTCTTAAGGTCTTCATCGAATTGAATAAGGTCTGCCAACATTATGGAGGGTAAGTGTAAGCTGCTTTATTCAAATTCTACTGCTCTAAATGTCAATTCATCTAAACAAATCACCCTCACAGCAAAGTGTAGAGGGGTGTTGTCCAAACAACTGAGTACCATAGCCCAGCCAAGTTAATACATAAAGTTAACCAGCACAGGAGCTTAAACTTGCGAGTGCACATCTTAATTGTGAACTTCTTGAGTTTATTTATTTGAAATTAGTTCACTGAAGAAATGAAAGTTTGATTGATTATGGAGTTGAGAAGCCGTTATTTTGATTTTGGAAACTTAAGAAGCTTATTTTGTTTTGTTTTTGTCACATGAAATCACAGAAAATATCTGAATTTTCTTAATCTGTATACAAAAAGAATGTAATAACAACAACTGAATTTACAAAGAAAGTGTTTTATTACAGTTTGGATCCTCTCATTGTGAATGTTGCTAACCCTGGAATCAAGTTCACAACTGTTCTCTTTGCCAAACAAACAGATTGCCTTCTAGTGGGTGACAGTGATGGACAGGTTGCTGTGTATGAACTAAGAAATATGCCCTCTCCTTTGGATTCTGGCCGGGTAAGACTCAAAAGTCAAAAGTTTATGTTATTCTATGTGATTTTATGCAATTTTGTATCACACAAGGAATTTACATTTCTTAAATATCTTAAGTGTAGTGCAATAGGAAGAACGTAAGTCTCAAGAGTTGCTACCTACTAAGCATGGTGTCTATTAGGCTTATTTTCTTCGAGCCTTGTGTTTTTACTCTGTAAAGTGAAAACAATAATGTTGTAGCATAATAATTATAAATGTTACGTGGGATACCTTTAAGTTGTGCCTAGTATACTGTTGGGATTTAATAATTGTTGAATATAGCTGAAGAAGTTTACTGCAAATATTCAAAGACTTTTACAAGAAATGATAATATTTTAGATATTATCCAATGTTCCCAAAATATGCATTTGTTTTTTTGTTTCTGTAGTGTTATTCTGTTCCCTTACTCTGATCTTCAAATATGAAAACTTTGTTGTAAAACTTTGACAAGCCATCAGTATCACTAGATGCCCATTATTTTTAAGATAGCTTTTCAACTTTTCGGTTTTTAAAATTTTTATTTTATCTTTTAAAGATTTATTTATTTATTTGAGAGAGAGAGCATAGCCTCTTTGCAGAGCAATTCAAAAAAAGTGAAAATTCAAATACCATACAAGCCAATGATACCACAGAGAATGTCTTGCACACGTGTATTAGGAGACATGTATAAGGTAGTAATGTGAGGTTTTTTTCCTTTCGTTTTTTTTCCTTTGTCTTTAATATTTCTTTTGGACATGGAGATGATTACTCAGTCTACTTTTGCTTAAAATGTTCACATTCAAATATTTATAAAATTTTTAAAATCTTAGTTCATCTTAAGCTCTTACATTTAGATAATATATTTTATTATTCTGTTTATAAGTCCAGCAAATTTTAATACATACTTTTAATAAACTTTTGCAACAATTAAGTTCCTTTAAATTCTTTAAGTTTAATTTATAAATTTAATATAGATTTTTAAGTACTTCAATTGTCTTATGGGCAAGCAAATCTGATACTTAAGGAATTCTTATTAATTTAATAAATTTTAAATGTTGAATATGCATCCATATTCATCAAGTATATTGGTCTGTAAATCTCCTTTTTGATGGGGTCTTTGTCTGGTTTTGGGATCAAGGTAATGGCGGTCTCATAAAACAAGTTTGGAAGTTTTCTGGGTGATAGACATTGGGGAGGGTATGTGCTATGGTGAGCATTGTGAATTGTGTAAGACTGTTGGATCACAGACCTGTACCTCTGAAACAAATAATACATTATATGTTAAAAAGAAGAAGAAGATAGCAGGAAGGGAAAAATGAAGGGGGGGAATCGGAGGGGGAGACGAACCATAAGAGACTATGGACTCTGAGAAACAAACTGAGGGTTCTAGAGGGGAAGGGTGTGGGGGGATGGGTTAGCCTGGTGGTGGGTATTAAAGAGGGCACGTACTGAATGGAGCACTGGGTGTTATATGCAAACAATGAATCATGGAACACTATATCAAAAACTAATGATGTAATGTATGGTGATTAACATAACATAATAAAAAAAGATAAAATTAAAAATAAATAAATGTTGAATATGATGAATCTTAAATTTTCTTAAATGTGCCAGTGCTTTTTACAAATTAATAATATTTCAATCTACAATCACAAGTCTAAGTCAATTACCCAATTACACATTTAAATTAGAATCACAAATTTATTTGTGAGGCAATCTAATAATGGCAAATTCTCTTATAAATAATGAATATTTAAAATGCCAAATATATACAAGTTCCTTAATACAAAGAATATTAAAATTATCTGCTTGATTTGCTGCATATTTTCTATATACAATTATTATTCTTCTCAGGGTAAAAATAGGCTTTCCCAATTAAGAAACAAATGAAGTATTCCAAATAGTTTTGGAGAGTATTTTCTTAACTGGCTGACATGCATATTGACTGTGGACATTTAAGGAGATTTTCCTAACTACCTTAAAGTTTTTATTTAAATTCCAGTTAGTTAACATACAGTGTAATATTAGTTTCAGGTATAGAATTTAGTGATTCAACACTTCCATACATGACCCGGTGCTCATCACAAATACATGCCTTAATCCCCATCACCCATTTAAACCATCACCCCCACCCACCTCCCTTCTAGTAACCATTGTTCTCTATAATTAAGAGTCTGTTTCTTGGATTGCCTCTCTCTCTCTCTTTTTCCCTATGCTCATTTGTTTTGTTTCTTAAATTTCACACAAGTGAAATCATATGGTATTTGTCTTTCTCTGACTGACTTACTTCGCTTAGCATAATAATCTCTACCTCCATCCATATCGTTGCAAATGGCAAGATTTCATTCTTTTTAATGCAAACTGGTGCAACTCTGGAAAACAGTATGGAGGCTCCTCAAAAAGTTAAATATAGAAGTACCCTACGATCTGGCAGTTGCACTACTAGATGTATCCCAAAGAATACAGAAACACTAATTCAAAGGAATACATGCACCCAGAGGTTTATAGGAGCATTATCTACAACAGCCAAATTATGGAAACAGCCCTAATGTCCATCAACTGTTGGATGGATAAACATGTGTTATATATATACATTAGAAACATCTTTTATTTTGAGCAGTATGCTCTGAAAGCAGAAGGCTAAGCTGAGAGTCTGAACATTTTTGACAAATTGTGTGTGTGTATATGTGTGTTGTATGTATGTTAATGATTTTAATACTGGTAAGCAAAATTTCCTTGTAACAAATATGTTCCATACATTAACAATAAATACAGTTTCCTAATACAAATATGTTTTTCATGCTTTTGGTCATTATATTTTAAAGGTTCAGAGTTATTTTTCAGGGAGATTCAACAAAAACCTATTAATCAGGTTTTGTATTACTTACAGCCAAACACAAGTTTACCTGATACAACTCTGAACTTTTCAGAGAAGAATTATAATCAAATAGTAATTTGAAGTTTTAAAGTAATTAATGTCAAACCATTATTTCCTATCAAGGTATCTTATCAAGCAACATTGTGTCCTATAATTTCTCCATTAATTTTAACCAAGGGTGAATCAAAATTTTGGAAGGCTTATGTTTTCATTCTATAGGAAAGATGTACACCAAATTTATAATAAAGGCTGCCTCTGGGAAGGGAAAGATGAGGGAAGAATAGGATTAAGGATGGGTACAAAGGGAACTTTCACAGGAATATTGGTTTTACAAAGGCCAAGTACCAGATAACACATGCACCAGGTGTGCAGATCAGGGTCCATTGGTGGAAACCCACTGAGGTATATCAGGGACCATGGTATAGGTATAGGACCATGACTTCCTCTTGTTTCTACATTGCCCATCATCCTCTGTGGCCTCGCACTGCTGGAGAAGAACTTTGATCCTTGGGTTGTGGATGTTTTAAGCAAAATGATTTCTGAAACTCTGGCACCTCCCTGATGTGTTCAAGGACCAGAATATTTTTGTGATATGACATAGTAGAACACTCCTGTCCTACCAACTCAGGGTTTGTGGCTAGGGGTAACAACAGCCTGATGCCTGGCATGATCAGGAGTATAGGGTCCAAGCTTTGCAGTGATAACTTTGTGATGTAGCTAGTTGTCAGCAGGATTTACCACCACATTAGCATTATTGTTTGTTGAAGTACCACCTCCTCTTCTGGTGGGATGTGGTTGGTTGCTGGGTCTAAGTCTTGAATTGAACAGAATTATAGTTTAAATACTTGGCCGAAGCTAATTTCAATGGGGGCATTGCACAAAGCAACTTTTTTCTCTGGAGGTAGCCTGTGGAGAATCACTCCTGGATACTATTTCTATTCTTATGTTTCAGTATATAAATGTTTGCCCTCTTTTTCTCTGTAGTTTGGGTATTTACATAAAGACAGTTCATTCATTCAACAGATATCTACAGAGTATGTACTACGTGACAGGATCTGTTTTAGGTGCTAAGGATACAATAGTGAACAGATTACAGTAGTGATCTGTGTTAGTCCAACTGAGAGACTGAACTAGAAAGAGATGGGTTTGAGGAGAAGCTTGGCAACTGATTTTGTGTCAAGACTTGAAGGATGGGGAATGTCATCCTTAGTAGAGGCTAAAAGGCAGGACTGACTTATGTAATACCATCTCAGGTGTTTATAACTCTTTAGAGTTTGTAAAACACTTTTACGTATTTTAGTTCATTCAACTCTTATAATAATTTTTAGAAGTGGTTGTTAATATTTCTATTATACATTCAAGGAAACTAAGATTCCCAGATATCAGTGATTTTCTTAAGATCACCTTCACTGTGTAGTAGAGAAAACTCTGGTCTTCTACTTCCGATTCCATCTTTTCACAATATCTTTCTTAAAAACTCATCTTCCATCTTTGGTTTCATCCTCTTACAAATTATTATTTTACCCCTTTGGTACAAAGATCATTATTATTAAATTAACTATAAAATATTGAAATTCAGATATTTAACTCTCTCTAAATCAAGCACTGTAGGTCAGGAAAGAGTTTAAGATACCATTAATATCACAAGCTGTTTTACAGATGAGAAAACTGAGGTTTAGATATTAAGGCTAAACAGGAGCTGTCAAAATGATCCTTTAACAACATCCAAATGGCCAAGAGACATATGAAAAAGTGTTCAACATCACTCAGCATCAGGGAAATACAAATCAAAACCTCAATGAGATACCACCTCACACCAGTCAGAATGGCTAAAATTAACAAGTCAGGAAACAACAGATGTTAGTGAGGATGTGGAGAAAGGGGAACCCTCCTACACTGTTGGTGGGACTACAAGCTGGTGCAGCCACTCTGGAAAACAGTATGGAGGTTCCTCAAAAAGTTGAAAATAGAGCTACTGTATAACCCAGCAATTGCACTACTGGGTATTTATCCCAAAGATACAAATGTAGTGATCTGAAGGGGCACCTGCACCCCAATGTTTATAGCAGCAATGTCTACAATAGCCAAACTATGGAAAGAGCCTAGATGTCCATCAACAGATGAATGGATAAAGAAGATGTAGTATATATATACAATGGAATATTATGCAGTCATCAAAAAAACCCCGAAATCTTGCCGTTTGCAATGATGTGGATGGAACTAGAGGGTATTATGCTAAGTGAAATAAGTCAATCAGAGAAAGACAAGTATCATATGATCTCAGTGATATGAGGAATTTGAGAAACAAGACAGAGGATCATAGGGGAAGGGAGGAAAAAATGAAACAAGATAAAACCAGAGAGGGAGACAAACCATAAGAGACTCTTAATCTCAGGAAAACAAACTGAGGGTTGCTGGAGTGGTGGGAGGTGGGAGGGATGCGGTGGCTGGGTGATGGACATTGGAGAGGGTATGTGCTATGGTGAGCGCTGTGAATTGTGTAAGACTGATGAATCACAGACCTGTACCCCTGAAACAAGTAATACATTATATGTTAAAAAAAAAAAAAAAAGAAGATGGTAGGAAGGGAAAAATGAAGGGGGGAAATCGGAGGGGGAGATGAACCATGAGAGACGATGGACTCTGAGAAACAAACTGAGGGTTCTAGAGGGGAGGGGGTGGGGGGATGGGTTAGCCCAGTGATGGGTATTAAGGAGGGCACGTACTGCATGGAGCACTGGGTGTTATACACTAACAATGAATCATGGAACACTACATCAAAAACTAATGATGTAATGTATGGTGATTAACACAACATAATAAAATAAAATTCAAAAAATGATCCCTTAACAGAATCCTTATAAAATTGTTTATCAAACTCCATTAAAAGCGTCTTTCATAGGAAAAGGCAGATTTATACTAGGAAGTAACTGTTACTATTTAAATTTACTTTGGTTTGTTTACTTTTTACAATCTTACTGGATGCCCTTTATATGTATCACTAATTTATAAATTTTAAATGGCATTTTAAAGGCAACTTTACCTTTTAATTTATATTTTATTGCATTGTAATTGTTTGATTTTTTCTTTTCAGGGAGATATAATAGATACTTTGCTTGGACCCAAGTCAAACCAACAAGGATAATTCATCATTACTAATATTTTCTCTTGTTGATGTTTAAAGAAAAAGAAAGAATGTTTAATGTCCAGTCATCCAATTTGTGTGCAGTAAGCTGGGATTTTGATGTTAGAAAATGATATTTGTTGTATAACCTCTATTTTAACTTAACAAATTTAATAAACTCTTATTTTAGAGATATATGATTAGTTTGAGATCTAGGCTAATTATAAGAGTTCTGTTGGGATTTTCTTAATATTTTTAGTCATATTCCAAGTACATATAACTACATACGTGTACTTATAAAATATTCAAATAGGTTAGAAAATTACTATTCCATTAGAAGCAAAGCTTGGAAATTATTAGAATTACTTAGACCAAAAATCTTTACAAGATGAAGTTCCATAGACGTTTAAATCTTCGGCTTTCCAAGATCTATTTTCCAGAGTTTATGAATTACCGCATGTGTTAGTGTTAGGAGAATATTAGATTCTCACACCCAACTTTAAATCAGAATTTTATCCTCTTAGATTTGAGAGCTGAAGTTATGAAACTTTATTAGACTATTTGACAAGCAAAAGACATGACAGAAAATATCAAAATTGCATTGTTTAGCCACCAGGCATCACACTCCCAATTCAGTGAGAAGAGTTAGTCTGGGACACATGGGGGCACCCTCCTTTGCCTGCCCAAAATCTGCTCTGGGTTTTAAGCCCCGACTTAAGTGGGCCCAGAGAGAAAGTATAAAGTCCTCGCTCTATAGTTGGCATCAGGATGTTATCTTATGAAGGGTTCTAGAGCTAGCTTGTGGATACAGGAGGAGTGGGAGGTAGCAACTCCCCCAAAGAGCTTGCTAACAGCCTATGCCATGCTGTTAGAACAAGTCCTGCGTTTTGTTACCTGAGGCCATAGGACAGTATGGCCTGTTTTGTAAAGCATTCTAAGTGGAGAGGAGAGGAGAAGGCATTTGAAACTCACTAAACTCTCTGGAAAAAGAGTATGTGTAAAACTAAGAGTGGAATCTGTGCAACAGTAGAAACTGCCTTTTATAAGTATCCACTTCTTCACAATCTCCATTTCTTTGGAGCCATCCTTTAAACAAAAGTAAGGTGATTCTCAGGTGGATTGAGAGCTTAGATCAGGTAGTAAGAATTATAGATTTTCTGCTGTTATAAATCATTGTGGTTTATCTCTTTGTCTTTCTGAAAGGTTGGACTTTCCATAACACTCTGTGTAACAAAATAAAAACTTGATTTAATCGAAAAAATGTTTCTTTTTATTATGTATTTTTGACTTTCAAAAATTTTCACATATTCTACTGTCACTGCTCATCAAACCTAAATGAAAAATAAAACTATTTTATTATTCTTAGACCCTGGGCAACTGATCCTGAAGCACTGGACCTATTCCATTTTACCCTTCTCACTCCTGATCTTATAGACTCTCCCATGCTTTTAGATTAGCATCAATTTTTATTTTACGATCTTTCACCTTGGTGTTACAGAAGGAATTATTTTGCTGGCTTTCTGGGCTGGCTTTGGATTCTCACTAGTAAACTCTATTTCCAATAAAATACTTTTAAAAATTTAGGATTTTGGGGGCTGTTTTAGGTTTATAACAAAATCAAAAAAAGGTATAAGAGATTTCCCATATACTCCTTCCCCCACCAATGCATAGCCTCTCCCATTATCAAAAACACTCACCAAAGTGGTACATTTGTTACAATCAATGAGCCTGCATTGACACATCCTAACTACCCAAAGTCCATAGTTTACATAATGGTTCACCCTTAGTGTTGTATATTCTATGGGTTTGGACAAATGTATAATAACCTATATCCAAATTATAGTATTATATAGAGCATTTTCTCTGCCCTAAAAATCCTCTGTGCTCTATTCTTTCCTTCACTCCCCAATCCAACAATCACAGATCTTTTCCTGTCTCAATGGTCTTATCTTTAACAGAATATCTTATAATTGGAATCATAGTGTATATAGCCTTTTCAGATTGGCTCCTTTCACTTAGTAATATGAATTTAAGGTTCTTCCATGTCTGTTCATGGCTTTATAGCTTATTCCTTTTTATTGCTGAATGATTTTCCATTGTCCGGATATACCACAGTTTATCATTCGCTTACCAAAGGACATCTTGGTTGTTTCCAAATTTTGGCAATTATAAATAAAGTTGCTATAAACATCTGTGTGCAGGATTTTGTGTGGGCATAAGTTTTCAACTCCTTTGGTTAATACTGAGAGGCATGATTATTGGATTGTATAGTATGTTGTTTTGCAAAAAGATAAAAACCCCAAATTACCTTCCAAAGTGGCTGTACACAATTTTTCATTCCCTCCATCAATGTATGAGAGCTCTATTTTTCCATATCCTTACCTGCTTTGGTATTGTCAGTATTCCAAATTTTGGCAATTCTAATAGATGTGTAGTAGTATCTCATTGTTGTTTTAATATGTTTAATATGCATTTCCCCAATGATAGAATTTTAAGAATTGAATGAGAGTTCTGCTTAGCAGTTAGCCATCTCATTTTACCCTTCAAACACACACACACACATATACACCCCTAATGGACTAATTAGGGGCCTAAAGAGGGAGTAGGGACTGGCCTGACTTTAAACTCCTATTTTGTGCTGGGTATTCTTTGCTTTATTTGGTTATTCTCTACCAGGCATCTTTCATATAGAACTTACATTATTGTTGTCTGTGAGTAAGTTGTTAGCTGCTCTGGCAACTGTTGTAGGGAAGGAATATTGTATTCATGATATAACTGTGTATCATAGTGTGTTCATTTGGTTCACCTCTATGTAGTTACATACAATTACAAATGAGAAGTTGGACCCTTAGTATTTGTCATTTTGTCTCAGTAAAAGTCTCCCTACAACAAAATGTTGAATTGTACTGTGAATAGATTTAGTTATCAACAACACACTTGTAATAATGTACATGTTAAAGTTCTTTACAGTTGTAGGACACTTTCACATCCATTATCTCATTATATCCTTCAGCAATCCTATGAGACAGATAGGGAAAGTAGTTGTAATATTATTATAATCTCTATTTTCCAGGTAATATAATTAAGGCTTAAATAGGTGATGTAACTTACCAAAGACCATACATCTGGTAACTGGTCAGGCTTAAACTCAAGCCCAAAGCTTTGAGAAGTTCTTAAACATTTTTCACTATTGTGCAGTAAATGGTTAATGTCTATATAGTTTGTTGAGGTCTCATAAACAAAGCACAAGAGTGTATATTCTTCTACAATTAGGCTTTGTCCCCAAATGATAATGCTTGTAATTTAGTTTTTCAGTTTTCTCCTGCCATCAGACCTTGCCACATGTATCCCTTTGGTTAGGAACACTCTCCTTCCCATCCCTCCCTCCCCTTCAACATGTTAACTCTTCACTCCCCCCGCTTCAGATCTCAGTTCATATCTCATCTCCTCAAGAGAGCCCTGTCTGAGCTCCCTTCTACAGGACCTGCCCCCCAGCCAGTCTAAATTTACTCCAAGTACCTTAAACATGAAGGGAAATGTGAAGTTTCTGTGGGGCTGGAAGAGGTGGGGAATGAGGAAAAGAGAGAGTCCTAATGAATCCATAGAGCAGAGAGGACCTATGTCCTGCTTCTAAATAACATTCTTTGGGAAGCAGAAAGGCCTAGGAAGGAACACAGTCAGCCTCAGAAAAACCATTCTCCATGTAATGAGTGATGTGTAGAAGCAACAAAGACAACTGGAACCAAAAAAGCCAGGCAGCTGAGAATGATTAATGACCTACCAAAAAGCAACAATTTGATGATAGAAGGGCCTTGTCAGAGAGTAAGATGCTAGAATTACATCCTGGGAAAGGGAAGGAAGCCAAATCTGAGAGAGACAGTTATTAACTGTGTGTATACCGTTTGTTTCTGCCAGCAGGGTGGAATGAAGACTTAGGGCTAGAAACTGAATTATAGAATATACATTTCTTGGACACCCAAGTTTCTGAATTGAGATTCTCACCTGTTGTGCTAAATATTGGTGTGATTATTTGCTTAGTATCTGCCTCCTCCCCTAGACTGTAAGCTCTCTGAGGGTAGGGACTATGTGTTTTGTTCTCCACTGTATCTCCAACACCTAGAACACTATCTCCACAGAGGGGTTATTGCAACAAATATTTGTTGAATGAATGCGTGATCGAATTAATGGGAGAAGTGTTGGCTTCATGCATACCCCATATTAAAATATGATCTAGTATTTTAAGTATGATTTCCTTAATATCCTAACAAGATATCTTAATATCACAGAGGGTAAAACATTTTAACATCACAGAGGGTAAAACATTTGATTTGAACATAAAATCAAACAGAGCATAAAATCAGCCTTGAAAATCAGCTAAACATAGGTCATAGTTTTCTTTCCTCTATAACAATATAAAATCAATTTTCCACCTCAAGACAAAAACTGAAAACAAATTTATGATGATTCTCTTTAGGTGAATATTACTGCTACTTTTGAGATTGCATTCCCACTGACTGGTGCAGTTTATCTCCACTATAAAGCACTTAACACAATGCCTGGCACAAAGTAGGTACTCAAAAATGGTAGTTGTCATTCTGATTATCCCAGACCACATTCCCGCTTCTTGGTCCGAGAACCTCTTTGCCCTTTGCAGCTGGCTAGGTCCTTGCAAGACCCTGCTCCTCCTTTGGGAGACACAGATTGTGCAAATGATCTCATTTGTTCTATTTGGGCTTTGTGTCTGTTTTTTTCAGCATTTACTGCAATGTTCAAGTCTACCCTCAAATCCATAGAACATTTACTAGGCTATTAGCCTTCATTTGCTTGGGTTGGCATACTCAGTGGGTGATAAAACTAAAAGGCTAACAGTTTACATGAAACTAATTCCTAGGTTAAATAGAAAGCAGAACATGTCCATTAAGTTGGAACATATAAACCATTGTTATGATCTTATCAAAATAAGCACTGCTTTTTCTAAATTGATGACACATTTGTGTAGCATCCAGAACAACTCATGAAAAACGTACTCTCACCATGTTTGTATTTCTTTGAATAAGTCAACTATTAAAAGATATGACACTATCATATCAGGAAGGAAAAAGTATCCCAGGATATTTTAGGGATCTTACATCATAACTCACTGATAATAATTTTATTGACTTTTTTGAATTATTATATATTTCAGTTACTTATTG